GCAACAGCACGGACAGGAACTGAATCAGACTGTAGCCAGCCATATACTTGAAAACGCCAAAAGACGTGGTCAGAGCCGCACGACCCTCCAGTATCACGGTGGAAACGCAACGAACGTCTGCGCATTTTGAAGTGAACGGACTGGCAATCGATGCCTCTGCTTCGGACAAACTGATACCGGCATGAGCTGCCTGAAAATCAGATTTTACTAAGGTTATTACATGTTATATACTTCACTTGATAAACTGTAATATAACAGAGATTATTAGTTCAAAAGCAGATGATCTTCGGAAACTTCATTAGAGAAGAACAAAAAATATTTTATTTAATTTTAGTCATCACTGCATCTCAGACAGAATCATGAAGATCAAGAATCATTCAACTGAGCAAAGATGTTTCTGACCGTGCAAAACATCTGAAAGCTTCAGTGAATTACCTTCAATGCGCCGCAATCGTTCGCACCGTCGCCACACATCGCCACAACGTATTCCATATCTTGTAGAATGTTTACCAGGTGAGTTTTCTGATCAGGCGACATTCTAGCAAAAACGTTACACATCGCAGCGATCCTGGATAAAAACTGAGGGAACATCTTTGCTATAATGGCGAAAGTGGGACCTCAAAAACACAGACGTCAATCACAGTCAAAAATAAACATTCTGATGTTACCATCTATCGCAAACTGGTACTCTCGGCCTTCAAACTTAGACGCACACATTTGCAGCACCGTGTCTGAGCTGGGCGTCATATACGTTTCCTCCGACGAACTAACGTCAAAGGACTCTTCCTTTTCATAGTACAGCCGCAGGTCGTCATCGGTGTTTTTTGTTTTCACCAGATACAAGGGCAGACTGTGATCCAGAATAAAACACTCCTTGGCAACAGAGACCTGAAAAAAATAAAAAGCCTTTAAATCAAAGTTAACAATAGTAGTTTTAAGACAATGCTAAGAAATTAGACTAACTTGATTTTGCCATGAAACAAAAATTAGATCTGTGTAAGCAGATAGAATAAAAGAGCCTCAAATGAGATAGGACGTACCACTGACATTACAAATACATGGCTGTTTAAATTATTTGAGTACATCAATAATTTCGTTCATTTCTTCGTTTTAACAGCTGGCATTTCAATCGGGTTGCAAGGTTAGCAACTATGGAACACTAAAGGTGCCGGCTTTGAGGCTTTACGGTAAAATTCGTTGACCGAATTTAGAGCGAGAGTACTTCCCCTTTACAGAAGTCGCTATGCCATTCATGTCTAAAGCAGAATTAGGATTTTCGTCACCGGTTCGGCTCTCCCGATAATAGGCTTTACGATCGGCTAAAATACGTTGCCAGTCAGGCAAGCTATAAAGCCTGAGTCCCAATACACGACAATTTTAAGCACTTAGGATATATTAACTGTTCGAGCGCTAAAGCTGGATTATGGCCGCCTGACACGTGGCTATGCGAAAACAGTCATTCTTTAGAATCTCCTTACCGACATACTTGGTGCGACGAATGCGACTTTCAGAGAGAATTCAGCCACGGCCAGTAGTTGTCATCTCGAATGGTAACGTGCCAGCCCATTTGTTTTATCCTCCTGACCTCCAGCATTTCGTCATTCAATTTAGTCAAATGACGAACCCGTTTATCTGTTTTTTCCACCGACCCATAACTTTCTATTCTCTAGCAAAACCATTGTTGCCTCCTGCCATGGCTTGAGCATCTGCTCCTCTAGGAGGCATCTGTTGAATTTTGAAACCGTCACTCTCGAGAGAGCGTATCCATCTATTTGTGACGCCAGCCTAGCAAGACTCTTTCCCGTTAACAGTTTGGTAAATGACATGAAGCAAAAACATGAGGCGCCGCTTTTCCAACACTTACGCGATGCATCAAAATGATACCGATCACCGAGTTGAACAACTCAATAGAGAAATTCAACCAAATTCATTTGATCATTCGATGACTGATGATTCCAGTCTCCACTCGTTTTCCATTTCAGAGCGGCTGTAGGAGATCTATGACGCGAATAGACTCATGCATGGTCCCGGCATTTAATGTTCATTGCTAGACTGAACCGGTCTGCAGTGTCGTGTTGCTTGGCGTGAAATATTATCATAGACGTACTCAAACTATACTGTTCAGCAACGAAACATCAGGTGTACGGCATGCAGGAAGCGCATGGCTAACGTCTCAACAAGAGTAGGCGCGTGAATCACACTCATGTCATATGAAGTACATATATAGTGCTCTTCATTTTGTTGGTACTGTATATCTTCCAAAATATTCTCTTCACAATACACTACACTATTGGAGTACTGCTCATAAAACAGTACATGAAACGGATTGCCCGATGTTTTAGATATATATACATATCTCACATACTGCCATGTGTGCGTTACACCTATGGTATTTTTAAAGGCACACTGTAGACATGTTTACTATAAAGAGTGAAAAGTGTATGTATTTCCATACATATTTCAGGGCGCTAAGGTAGAGGAAAAAGTAAGAAAAATATTTTCTGCCCTATGTACAATATACGGCGTAAAATGCAGCAATTTCTCACCATGGCGCCAGCAACACTGATAGAGACAGTTGCTTACCGCTGTCATGATGTTGTCGCCAGTGACCATGATCGAACGAATGTTAGCAACTTTTAATGAGTAGACGGCTGGTGCGGTTTCTTGTTTTAGTCTGTTTTCGAATACTGCCAGTCCTAACAACTGAAGATTATATTCGGCCTCGGAACGGTCGATGCGCTGCATCTTCACGAAACTCAATTCGAGCTTCCGCGTGGCGAATGCCAGCACTCGAAATCCACGTCTCGTGTAGCTGTGTAAAACTGAGGAGAAATTGGACGGCACGGACCATCTGTCACACAAACTGATTATGGTCTCTGGAGCACCCTAAAAACAACAGCAGCAAAAATAAATGGTCATAAAGAAGTCGGTGTGATCCGCATTATTTACCTTGCAGTAAAGGATAAACTCAGAGCTGCCCAACTCTCGGACGATGACCGACATACGCTGCAACGCAGACGTAAACTCAAACAGCCTCAGGATGCCGACCTCGGACTTCAGTTGCTTATTACTGACGACGGTCGGAGGGATCAAGTCGTACCTTCCACTTTCTTCTACTACTTCTGGCTCGTTGATTTCCCAATTCGTGTGCCGAAAAAGAATAAGATCTATTGGATCGCCAATCACTTCCCCGTCGACCATGGTTAACGAGTGGCAACAAGCCATGGCCTTCACAACTGCCGGTTCGAAGTTTTCGACATTTCTGATACTACGTCCCAACAGATTTCTAGAAAACCATAACACCGTTGTCAAAGAAAAGGCCTTGATGAAAAGAAACGTTCAAAACAGAAATACGACTTACTCATCAAGTTGCACAATACCGTGGAGATCAATGCCTTCTTCGGTTAGCGTGCCGGTTTTGTCGAAGCACACTGCGTTGATTGCTCCACATGCGTTAATAACACTTGGAGATATGCAGTATATGCCCTTTTTCTTCAAACGGCTTTGCGCGGCGATTATGCCGATGGTCATCGCGGCGGGCAAAGCAGGGGGCACGCATATGGTGACAAGATCAAAAGCCCTGCAACAACGCACATCGACAATCGAAGAAACTATCGTCTATCTTCTTTTAACATACCTAACTATGATCTTGCTAATATCGTTTCCTCGAAGAGACATAACTACTATGGTGTACACTAATCCGATAAGCGCAACTGCTGCCAACACCCCAACGAACCGAAGCAAATCCTTTGTAAACTCGAAATCAACAGGTTTCGGATACATGATCGATCGAACAAGTTGGCCTTTGCTAGTGCTGAAGCCAGTGCGCAAAACAACAGCCTAAAAAAGTACAAAATAACGACACAAATCTACCAAATACCAAAAATAAGCACGGTCAAAAAATCCGTTTATGCCACAATAGGGTATTATAACTTAGATATAACTGTAGCTTCCTCTCTTCTTGGGGTTTGTCGATTTTAAGAAAGTATTTGCCTCAGAGTACATCCGTTCTGTCCTGGATTTTTCGAAAAGTCGAAAAGGTAAATAAACCTAATCGCCATGATTTACAAGAATGCAACCACTAGTGTGAAGCTTCACAAAGCACAAGCAGCAAACTCGAAATCAAGAGAGGCGACAAACAGAATAATGCAATTTCGCCAAAGTTACATTTACAGCGTCCCTTATAGATGTTTTAAAAGACGGCCGTAAAAAATCAGGGGTTGAACAAAAAAGAACACTACCTAATCCACCTACGCTGCGAATGACATTCTAATCCTCTCAATGGAACCAAAATTATCGAAGAGCTGACGACGCCAGAATCAAAGCAACATTGAAAATGAACATGAAAGACTCGAGTCATTTAAAGAGAGACTCCGCGAGCGATCTACTGGAAGTCAAATGACAGGATTAAACACGTGCAAAGTACATCTAGTTGGGGCACTTCATCACTGCAACGGAGAACCAATTGTACGAAATTGGGAGCACAAATTGCATGGAAACATTCCTATCCTGAGAAGCTACCTCTGTGCTTGAAACAAACTTTTCGATCAGTGCGCGTTTCCAGTGCTAACTTGTGGGCGCGAAACGTGGAACCTAAGCCTGAAAGCTATTCATACTCTGCAGACCACGGAACGCAATATAGAAAGGTGCTTGGAATGACAAAAAAAGATAATAACACTACTGAATGGATAAGGGCATAAACAAGGGTATGCAATCTAACTGCCAGCGTTAAGTTGCAATAACAGTTGGTAGGACAACTTGCACGAATAACCAACAATCGCTGAACAAGAGAGACATTAGTCTTAGTCCCAAGAGAGAGTAAACGGCCAATAAAAAATCCTGCAGATCGCTGACAGGATGTGCTGAAAACGTCAGCTGGTCAATATGGATAAGAATCACAGAAAAAAATCTGTGACAATCTTGACGAGCCTTCATCCAGCAGTGGAAGGAAACAAGCCGATGAGCATTATATATGCTACGGTGAATATACCCCAGGCTTTTGTTACTTCGACGCCGAAAATTATAGACATTTTAGAGCGAACTCTAAACTTTAGAGTAAGTTTAGAGAACTTATTATGTAAAAACCCATTTAAGTTAATGTAGGAAAATATTTAATATGAGCTTAAAACAGCTAATTAAAATAATCAGAAATCATTTGAAATAACAGTCAGATGGCCTCAACGATTTTCAGGAACATACTGGCTGGGAGCGAAGATAATATGACCAAAGTGAAATAGTTAGCCTGAATGTTTTTTTCAGATATGGACTGACTGGGGCTTATTACTCATATTGTTGCTACGCCGGTCACCATCACTGGTTTAGCCGGCTGCAAGGTCGTCCAGAATCGCTGCTTTCCGCCCGCCGATCACAAGTGATTGAAGATAAGTAACGTGTCCAAAGTAGATCTAAGCTCGAATTTCTGTCCATTCACTTAGCAAAATATGAGCCAGTTCTGTCTCCTTATGCTACTACAATTTATTTCCGCAAAGCGTAACTGCATTAATCATTCACATTCCGTAAAGTGAACCCTTCAGTAATACACGTCTATCATATGATCGTTTGATCCATCATTTAATGAACAATTCGTTTTCCCAATTGTCACATGAATGCAAATCCACGTCCTCCAACATTCTCTATTTAACACTTTCTACCTTCACCGTTTACCAAGTAATTTGACAATCGGATTATCTGAACGTATTTTTGGACCGTCGACTCGATGTACTGATCCAATAGAAAACGGTTTGCAACTCTTGACGTCCACTGGTCAACAATCATGATCGGCTGATCTTGTCTAGGCATCGTAGAAGGTAGAAATTATGTCGATCAATCCAATCCTTTACAGCATTCAGTCCTTTATAGCATACACTTGCACTGTTCACTGGTTATTTGTATGTAATAAAATTATGTAAATACTGTCGCTTTGTACTTTATCGCATTATCATTGGAGATGAGGAATGCGCTTCATGTTTCTCTGGGGACACTTTGACCGACTGATATAAGAAGACTGACGAAGCCACCATCGCTTCTCAGTGGTATATCACTTCGCAGCCACCAGCTTAACCGCCCCTGGTAAGGGCGAAAGTTCTCACTTTCATTATCTCAAGACATTATCTGCTTTTGCATAGGTGTAAATGACTGGCAAACGTCTTATGCTTAGAAAACAATCGCACGCTACATGCCCGACTGCAGATGACGACATTATGAAGCTCTGGCAGTTATAAAACATGAAACAGGGGACGCGCAGAAAGGTAATTATATTGCTTTAATCGAAGAAAAACTTACGGACCGCTAATCATGTAAGTTTGGCAGTCTCTATCGTCATTTAGCCGTTCGACTTCCTGATGAAATTATCAATAGATAATTAAACAAAGGCATTTTTCTTTTCTTCATAAATCATGATTGTACTTTACCACACCAAATGCAAACACTGAAAACTATTAGTGCATAAATAAAAGTCCATAGAACGTTCATGTTCAACAGTAAACAAAGCGAGACTGAGGAAGACGCATGAATGCACCATTCGGGTTGTTTGCCTTGCGGAATGAATACCGCTGCCAAGTGGTGCGTGCGTGCGTGCAGTAGAATGTTTAACTTAAATATTTTTCATAGCCATTTCAAGGCAATTTGCCTACGTTTAAATGTGTCTGCATTTCAAAGCATATTGCCTTTGTCCTGGTACTGACGTTATGAGCAAGTGACTAATTACTTTAGTAAGAAATCTGTCTGTTTGGTAGTGAATCTAGAAGTAAATTCGAATTACAGTGAAATGTAGAATCTAAGAGTTTTGAATCAATCAGAATTTAGCTGAATTTCGAAGAAAAATAATCAATCATAACAATGGCCGCACCTTGACTTCCTGCCCGGAATAAAATCTGGTTTGCAGTATCGTGGTGCCGCAAAACAGCGTGTGCTTGGCATGCACTTTGGGATCGTATAGTGAATAACCGTCGACCGTCAAAGAGTCCTTAGGGACGATCAATGGCGTCTTGGTGACCGGAACGCTCTCCCCAGTCAGCGAGCTTTCGTTGACAATGCAGTTTCCAGACAACAGCACCGAATCGCACTGAACAGTACAGCCGCCGGACGGAATGACAATGATGTCACCGGGTACCAGCTCGGTCGATGGTCGAACCTGCTTGTCGACCGCCCGAACGACCGTCACAGCTTCGATGCTATGTATGGAATTGCGCAATGCCACCTGATTTTTCCTAGTCTGGTAAACGTCCATCGCGATCGACAAAACCGACATGATAATGATCACCGACGCATAATAATAGTAAACGTCTGCAAACCATATGCAAACGCTGAATATTTGGAATATGTAAAACGGGTTTAGCGCCTAGAAGAGAAAGTAATAAATGATATAATGAACAAAAAATTAATGTTGCAAATTAATAACACCCAATTAATAATCACGGATAATGCAAAGTATTCAAAACAACACTTCAACTTAATAGATCTGAAAAAAGATTTAAAGTACACCCTAAAGTCTAATTTTGCATATGGTAAGAGATATTCACTAGCCTGCTTATTCTTGGCAAGTGATGACTGATAAGTTAGAAGTTTTAGAGCGGGAAAGAAGTTGTAACCTGATGCTAATTACGATCCCATAACAGCGACATCTGGTATTCCAGTCATTCACTGTTAACAGTTATGTCGGCTATGTCTGTACTGGTCAACATTCCGATTTGCCATATTTTCTGCGGTGTATAATAAACCGTTGCAACGATTCCACGTATAACACTCATTTCAATCTTGTGTCTTTT